TGTGCGAGTATTGCCGCTGTGCTGTTGTAGTGAATACTCACCTCCCTGAAATGGGCTGTACTTCCGAGCAATACATCTAGTCCTACCATATTGCAAGCGACTACTGATTGAAAAATGCTACAGTGGTCCGGTAACCTGAAACTATGCTTGACGGAGATCTGCTTACATTAAATTCTCCCTCCAACCTTTCCTATGAACATGCATCCATCTGTGATCACTGCGCCTCTTTATCAGTCGAGAAGTAGACTCAGCAACGCAGTGATGCAAGTTTTATGGGATGCAGTCGGAGAGGGAGAAAATAACAGAATGTCCCTGTTTGGACTCTTTCATCTTCCCAGCTTCTCTTACTGGCTCTTATTGAGACTTTCGCAGCTATACACTTTCCATCTACATATAGCCACTGGTGCTATTTATAGAATGGTTTTTGGATTCTTTATGATCCATCGTAATAAATCAAAAGTTTTTCATCAATATATAACAATGAATGAAACATGGTTTCCAATATAGTCCAATCGACAGTCATTCCAATATACTGCATGCGATGAATCGAATTCAAAGCGTGGCAAGTTACAACAGTCAGATAGTGAAATTATGGCCTCTAAACTTGGGGATACGCATTGAATTATTTCTATCGACTACCTTGAAAAGGGAAAACCCATCAACAGCTACTATTGGAAGGTGTGAAGGACAATCCTTATAAGTTTTGTGTTAAATTTAAATATAGAGGCAAAGCTCATAAAAATTCACCAGCCGTTGAAGGACTTTGCATTTAAAAGTGTACAATACATAAATATACGGAAACGCTAAGTCCAACAGTAAAGGTATAGTGGATAAAATTTTTATAGAATCTTGGACTGCTGCAGGCTTTTTCAGTTCCCAAAAAGTACAGCGTTCAAATAAATTGGTGGTAAATATTTTCTCAAATTTGTTGCAATGTCTAATGGACATAACTTTACAGAGGACTTTCTCCTAGTGTCATGTATTACTGATCACTTTCAACTAACCCAACATAACCTCAACGGACGCGAGTTCACTTAAACTCCATACACATATTTCTATGCATTTTCTCTTCATCTGCCATATAGTTTTCTCTGCGTTATTACAATACAATCGTCTGTACACAACTTCGATGAGCATAAAATTTACTAATACCTAAGCAAACATATGTACATACTCGTACATACGTTTATATGGTACATAACTGTCAATTCGTGCTCATGCATTGCCTTCAAGTTGCAAACTTAACATTTGAGCAATCAGTCAATGAGCAGCTAAGTCGCCTTCAATATTTACTTTGACTTTTGTTGACACTTTGGCTGCTTGCTGCCGCAGATGCGCATATTACTGGAGTGGCGTACGAGTATGTGTGTCCACTACAAACAAATATACATACATACATAAATGGCTAGTTGCAAGTGCCTTCGTGTGTGCATATTTTCGTGCTAGTTCTGCTATACTGCAGCACGAAATACGAACAGCAACCTGTTGATTATATTCAATTGAATTGATTGACATCAATAATTACAACAGCAACAACAATTAGAGCAACAACTCGAAGACGGCATGAAGACATTCAAATGAAATTGTAGTGTCAGCTTACGAACAAAAAAAAAACAAAAAATGAAAACGAAGCGAAAATTCAAATGAGCGATAACATTTGCGGTCGCAGTTGATGTCAATTGAGTTTGTTGCTTCTCACCGTTATTGCAGTTTTACACCCGATTGCAACTTGTTGCAAAAGGTATATTTGATATGTTGCTAGAGGCATAGCTAAGTTGTGTGAAACCCCTTCAGCGATGTTTAATCCGAATAGAGAATTCTTTTGCTGCTCGTTTAAAAAAATACCCGTTATCATATACGGTTTTATAGGAAATTTACGAACCGGTTCGGAATATATAAGAATTTAACATAAGCACTGATTTCAGAGTCGTTAAGGACGATTTCTCTGAAACGGTTAGACCGATCGGAAATTGCTACAAGATTTTCTTAGAAATATTTGTCAGGAAAATATTAGATTTCGACGTTAAAATTTTTTCACAAAAAACGACCATTTTTTGGGAACTATTATTTTGCCAAAAAACTAAATTTTGACTATACCGTGATCGCCTGTATTCATCATTAAAAATAATAAATTTTTGTTGGCTTTTGGATTTCAGATAATTTTAAGCAGAAAAATCACCAGACACTTTTTTCGTGTGATTAGAAGTTGTTAAGAACAACATGTTTTAGTCAAAATAGCGCGTGTGTCCTTAATTTCGGCCAAACAAATTATTAGCATTCGGACGATCTTGGCGGGCAATGTCCAACAAAAAACAAAAAAATGCTATATAGACAGTTAATAATGGATATATGTATACTAAGTCAGCTCATAACCACTCCCATACTAAAAGTAATCTGCAAAGAAAGCGATTTAAGTATCATAAACGGTCGGCTTCGGTGATTCCCGTATTTAGGTTTACCTTACATTTTTATTTCTTTATTTTACTTCTCACAAGACAAATCAGCTTGTTTGACGCGCTAGACTGTTTCGCACCAATGCAATGGCTGGAGTATAGACAGACAGGCAGCAAGCGCTTTTGGAATGTTTACTATTTACTGTTACAGTATGCAGATTGCTATTTAGAGCCAACGCAGTGGCAATATCCGTTTAAGTGGAAATAAAGCAACAAATATATGCCTTAGCCGCGAATGCTGCAACATAAATACCAACAACAAAGCTATAAGTATGAATGATGATGTGACGCAGACTTGCAGCAGCAGTTGCCACCAATCAATTGACTTAAGTAATAACAGGAAATGTGGTTTTCTATTCAATTTAGCGGTACATTGGCAAAAAATCGTGTGTTTTCTGCTTGCTTAACTTCGTTTCGCGAGCTAAACGAAGGATTTTATCAGCTTTGTATATTGTAATAAAAATGATAATTTAAATAATATTAGTAATTATTTCGGTAGTTGGCAACACCAAAGCTATAATTGATATATTCTTGAAGTCATACGTAAATGTTTTAATATTTCTAGAACAGTTGCTTTTAATTTCCCAAAGAGAGTAGCGAATCGAACAAACAAATCTAACAAACTAGCATATATAAAGTGGTAGAATTTCAAGCAGTTATATCACTTTTATGAGACGCCCACAAGCTTTCTTGCCTGTAGTATTGAATTAATAAAGTTCCAAAAGAGCAGAGAGCAGAACTGAAATATAACGATTGTGGTTGATGTTAAATATATTGAATCTAATTGTTTTATATCATAAATATTAACTGTCTAATCTTCAGCGACTTTTAATTTTTATTTTAATATTTATTTCATTCACACATCAGATTAAGTGTACTATCTGGCAGACATGAGCGAAGCAGAAAAATAATATTATATATAAATATAAAAAGATAATAATGTCTTACTTGCGAGCAAAAAGATATTTCCAATATCTATAATAGAAAATGATTAATAGGCCATAATTCATAACCAATTGTCGGCAGCTTTATGGGTTACCCTTCTCATTATAGATCCGATTAGATTACACTGGGAAACAATAGTTTTGTTTCGATAAGTTTCTTACCCGATTTTGTGTGATGCTGTTTGCAAATCTGTAGTCAGTTTTCGAAATATAAACATATTACATTTTTTGCCAAAAATACTACAATTTTAGAATTAAAGAATATATGGCTCTTACTTAACATGATGTTCGCTTATGTGCTTTTCATCCATCAGTAGAAACTAAAGTCCTGTTTTGAATGCTCCAGCAGTAATCAGCCATCATATTTGCATTCAAACAACTCTGGTGTCGCTTTTCCATAGGACGAATATCCTTGCTTTTCGCTTAAGTCGCCTAAATTGTCTGGGAAGCGGTCTAAATGGCTGAAGGGGAAGTGCAACATGAGCTGATCCATGTGTTGAATGTAGTCTACAGACTTTTTTATAAGAAATTTTGCACAACCCAAATAAATCCGATCCATGCAAATTTCTCCTTATCTGTCATACAATCAGTAAAATGTTGGTTTTTAATTAGTTCCCTGATTTGAGGACTTTCAAGAATGCCAGCTTTAATTTCGTGCTCGATTTCGGAAATGCTTTACTGATATATATTATATAAAACATTCCCCATTCTTATATAGAATTTTTACAAACTGTTTTATAAGACCTTACTTTCTATGAAGAGGGGGTAATATAATGCAATTTCTGGCTACTAGAAGGGCGTTCATCACATTCATACTACCTGTTACTAAATTCACTCTCAAAGGCCAAATTTTTTTATTCCAGTATTCTTTCTTGGACCGGCTATTCCATAAGCATATAAAACAGGGGTAATTGGTATATCCTCCCTGTTAGCCTGAAATAATATTTACCATTTTAAGATTGACGTATAGTAGCCAGTTATGTTCTATGTATTTGGTTTTCTCCATAACAAATAGGCATTTTTTATAGAATCAGACGCATTTAAACAGCATTCTCTAAACATATAGTCACCACAAACAGCACAGAAACTATTCGGATAATTTAAACAAGTTCGTCTTAATGTAGACATAACGGTTTATTTATGAAATTTAGTAATTTTTTGCCCTTTAAATTAATTCAAGTAAGTCGAGTAACGATATTTCAAGAAATACCTGTATCACTAAAACTGAAGCTACTAGAAAGAAACCGAGATTTCAATACTTTATGATTTTTTCTAACGTGTTTTGATTAAAATAATCACGAGGCCTCAATTTTAAGTTTTTATATTGAAATGCTTTACCTTATTAGTCGGGCTGACTAGATCCACGTAATTTAATGTACGGAATTAATTCCTCTATTAAAATTTGAATTTAAATATCATCTATATGGAAGTTAAAAAGCATCGATCATCTCTAATAATATTTTGTTGTTCAGAGAACATCGCTCCACAGCATGCTTTTAAAAAGAAATTAAAAATTGAGCATAGAATAGTGTGCATAACTCACGATTACGCTCGCAGATTGAGAGAGCACATTATCAAAGTGAAAATAATTGTCTGCCGTTGCGCTCAAGTGAATAAACGTCAGCTGAGCGCCTATTTGCATGCCAACAAACGCCAAAGGAGGGGCAATGCTTGGCGCATGCATTTTCACGCCAGCACCAGCGGTCGAAGCGTCATCCCAGCCGTGGAATGTTGGCGAGCGGGCAAGGTAAAGCTGAAAACGTGCTTGCTGCGCACGCGATTAGTTTGCTTAAAGAATGAATAAAAATTAAGCGAAATGTGTTCGGTCGTGTGGAGATAGTCGTACAAATATGTATAGCATGTTTGAGAATTTACAACAACACATTGTTTCTTGGCACACATTTGTGACATATTTACTTGAACAGTATTGTGGGCAGCGTGCCTGCTGCTTTCAACTACGGCGAGCCGGTCGCAGTGTTCAAGATTAGCGTGTATTTATGGTTCCCTGCCAGTGTGATCGCCATCCAAGTGCTCAGTTGCGTTTAGTAAGCGCATAAGTCAAGTTGACTATTTGCTGGGATTCATTGACGGTTCAGCTGTTCGGGTTATATACGAGTGCACGAAATGTTCTAGCCGCGCAGGAACACCAAGGAAGGAAATAAGCAAGATCGGTGATCTTGCCTAAGTAGATAAGTGTTTGTTTAAATACCCGCATTTCAAATTCGTGTATCAAGTGCTCAAGTATCTTTTCGATTGGAAATTTTTTACTACTTGTTTATTTATTTTTCGAGATTTTAAATTTGTATGCCGATTTGTGTACATGCTCGGTATACAGCGTAAATAAGTTTCGTTTTCATTTGAAATCGCTGCAAGTGTTGTAAGTAATTATTTCCATATTTTGAGTAACAATCATTTCAGTTATCAGTAGCAATTAATTAAATTGAATTACGATCATTTTAATTAATATATTTAAATGCTTTACACTTGCATACAAACATTTTTAATAGCTCCTGGTAATGGGTGTGAAATTTCCATACCTTCTTCGACATGAAGGCTGAGAATTCTATTGTTTTAGGTTTGTGTTTTTATTGCACATGCTCACACGATTTTGAAATAGAAAGATGTTTTACAAATTCAAAGCATTTCGAACGTACACTTGGCTATATGAACATATGTCTGAAAATCATAGGATTGAAAAGAGTCTGCGTTAGATTTCCTGTAATAAAATCTTTCCAGAGATTTATTATTTAAATAATATAAGTTTGAGTCTCTATGATACAGAACTAACTGTAACTGCTTTATATACCATAGTTCATATAAAATTTAGAGAAATTCTATCTCTCGAATCGAAAAATAATTATTTCATCGCATAATGCCATCCATGGTCCCAGCTTGCGCACTAAATGTCATATACACAAATTAAGATCGGGCTTTTCGACCAAATTTAAATTTGAAGTCAATAAAAGCTTGAATAAAATTGTAGCAAACAATGAATTTTATTCTAACACTTTATGTAAAAGTTTGAGAACGATGTGGATTAAGGATATCTCTTTTTTGAATTTACCATCAAGCATCCTCTTTTTGGAACTGTAGATAAAGTTATCTTTTCAGAAAAGTCAGAACTTTTGTTTCGAATTGGAAACCGATGAATATCATAGACAAAATGCGGTACGATCGAAAAGAAACAAATATCCCTAAAACCTATGACCCTTGATAAAAACTTGATAACCTCACAATTGTGATTCTTCGGTGAGAACGACTTCTCAAAATGAAAATTTTCAAATACCATTAAGTTCATACAATTTGTTGTAACTTGTAACCCGGGGTATTTATGTCCGTTGAAGAGAATATTTGTATAAACAAAACTTGCTGGCATTAATAACAATGATGATATTGATCGATATTGTTTTCCAGTATTAAATCAACTTCTGCTTAAATCTCGTTCTTTATATAAAGCCTCAATATACCGTCGTAAAATGTGAATGTCGTTTTCGTATATTCTATAATGCATCGACGCAGGGTCGTCAATAAATATCTATGAAAATATTACAGTATCCACAATCATCTACAACAAACAATGTCATAAAATTGTGAACCCATTTTAATTTGGGTCGCTCTGAAAAAAAAAATTATCTAAAAATTGCGGGATTCCAATTAAATCAATTCTATCCCAATATTTGTTCCGTTATCTCTTTATTGCTCCTTCTGCTGTTATCAGGGTACACAATTAATTCTTTCGAATCAAAAACTCCCCTTTTTGTGTAATATGTTAAATAAAAAACTGATAACTAAGTAATTGATAAGAGTATTTTACAAATGTGTCAAAATTATCTATAAAATTACCGATGGCTCCCAAGAGCTTGTCATTGCGTCCTATCTATTACGCGTTCCTCTCAATGGGAGAATCTCTAAATAGCTTATTATGCCTACGTATAAAATAGTACTGTTCGTTAATCAAACAAACAACATTAATCTGATATTGTTTCTATCCCGGAAAATGATAATATTTCTTGAGACTTATAACTGATGGACAAATGTTCAAGTAAATATCGTCAGCTGGCGAAACCGAAGTCTATTTATTTATGAAGAAGGCCTCTCAGGCTTTAATGCCGTTGTGGTGGCGGTATATATAAATGTAAAACGGGTTTATCACAATCCAACTTTTAAAGATCTGAATTTAATTGGCGCTCTTTTATATAAACGATATATACTTTTCAGCCTGACTGATTCGTTGGTTTTACCAGTCAGACAGTGATTAGACTACACTGTTACGAATTTCTTTGAAGAACTTGATCTTATAAGTTCGCTCTAGTTTAAGAATTTGATTCTGTTGGCCATTTAGTACACAGATTAATTTTTTACGAATACATTTTTGCGATTTTGTGTTACAGATCCATTGATGTAACAAAGGATAAAGTTCTGATCTTCATATACTACAATAGTTTTCTACTGAATTTATCCATACAATATATGTGTAAATAGAATGCTACGGAGCTTTGCCGTATTATATTTAAATTTGTTAATTTATTTACTTCAGTTCTAAGATTTTTTCAAAAATTATATTGGAATTATAATTATTTCGCTTCTTTGATATTCCCTTATTTATTATATTTTTTAACTCTACTTTTACATATTAATGTATTTATTTACGTTTATATTTATATACTTGTATGTATATTTCTTACTAAATTTTTGTATGTAAAATGCTTTGGCAATTTAAGTGGCCTGACATATCTGCCTAAAAACTTATGCATGCGAAGCACTCTTAATTAATAAGGGTCAAATGATAAATAAACTCACGAAAGTAGTGTGGAAGAGAAAAAACAAAAATTAAACTTATTATACTTAGAATAATACAATAAGATTAATTTATGCTTCAACCATTTCGTGGAAATTTCTTTTCGCTAATTTTATATGCCACATGGAAATATATTTTTGGAACTTGTTTTCAAGTTCAATGCTAAGACCTTTATATACCATAAAATAATACAGCGAAAATTTACATGTGTGCGAGAGATATGTAAATGAGAAAGCTGATTAAAATAAAACAAAAAGCATTTAATTGATTACTTTTGTGACTGACTAAAACATACATATTTTTGTATGTATATAGAACCTGGTCATGGAAAACCAGAGTTTTAAATCAGTTATCCATTATAAAAAACCGGTTCATAAGGTTTTCAAACTAGTAATTGGGTTTTATGATCAATTATTCTTTCAGCTGTTACATACGAGTATATTTTATCACTGAACTACTATTTTCAATAAGTAGACCCTTTGAATGTAGACTGGCATTGTATAGCCATTGGGAAGTATACCACTCAACGGTAATTGGTTACTTGATAAGATGGAACGATTATCTATAAAAATTTTACTCTGCTCTAGAGAGGTTCACCAAGGGGTTATAAGATTATATGTTCAAAAAATGTTTGTGCAAAAAGTGATAACGATAAGAAAGTTATTAGCGGAGCATCTTATAGATGAAACTTATTTACAATTTATAGTTTTTTCTTTAGGACTACAGCAGCAGTGAAACTTATCACTACAATTCCAAATCCCCAAAGGAATGTAAATATACTTGTACTGTCAAGTAGTGGGAGTCGAGTAGAGCGCATTCTTAGGGCTTGCAGAACATTTCAATAAAAATCTTTTTCAAATCGTAATTTTAAATTCTATCTACAGTGTTGCAGTTGTGCCAAAATAATCGAAGATCTTACTGGCAGTTTTATATATCACTCTGAAAACTTTTGGTAAACACTGTATTATAAATTTATTAATATTTTTTTTTTGACATTTGAGTGGATTGAGTAAACAAGAGTAATATCAATTATGTCATATTTTACTTTAACTTGTCAACATAAATGTCGCAGATTTGTAAATATTTGACAGTAGTCCATTGACAGCTGACAGCAGGGGTTAATAATCCGTTTCAAATTACTCAAACTACTATGCTACAAGTATTTAATTTTTCTTTTGTTGCAATTAATACTGTGCTGCATTCGGCTATGAATGAGCTAAAAAATTTATCCGTTGGTAAAACCGAAAGCAATGCTATTGCTGCACTCGAACAGATGTGACATTTACAGCACGCGAATTAAATAAATCTGTTATAGTCTTTTGTTAATTACACTTTTGAAATTAAATCGTAAATGAAAAGCGAGTGCACAGCTGTGCATGCTCACACACACATTTCTGCAGGTATGTTTGTAATTTAATGCAATTCCGAGTTTTTTTTGTCGAATTTTTGCAAGCTTTTGCTCATTGCCTTATCGGCATTGTCAAAATTAATTTATGCTGAAATTATCAGAGTGGAACACGGAGCGACTATCAGTGACCACCAGGGTGACATACATATGTATTGTACATTCATACATGTACATACAATATATACTATAGACATATATATTGCGTTAATTAACTGCAGTGCCCAATTATTTAGATATGCATCTACATATCTATTGCCGTCAAGCTGAGCTAAGAAATGCAAATAAGTCTGAATTTGGCCTTGCGGCGAATTGTCGAAATTCGCTGGAAAGAAATGATTATGTTTGCGCCCACTGATGGACGGAAGGTCGGACAGGTGCAGCAGTATTGATAGTAAAATTATAATTTGACTTCCGTGCACGTTCAAGCGCAAAACACACTCACGCACATAGATACATGTGTGCATGCACATACTAAGATGCCACTAATCTAATCCAGTTCAATCTAATTTGTCATGATGCCGTTATACGCGTATGACGATCTTGACACTCTCGAACAATGTAAGAGCATTATTTAATTAACACTTGTGAATATGAAATTTATAGCAACATATTTATTTGAGGTCACTTATAAGTGCAGATACAGTTACTTCCTGCATATTTACATATACATAAACACACTCACACCTACGTATACAATAGCTTAGCAGCGAGTCATCATAGCTGATTTGTACCGTCTTCTATTTGTTTATGCACTTCCAGAACTATATACCTACATATATTATATAAACATTTATATCCGTACACTACATATACATATCTACCGTAAATATGTAAATACCATATACGATATAATCCAATATATAATATATAATCCAATAAATTTATTTTTCTTCCCACATTCAGACAATGCACGTCCTAGGCCTAACTTGTTGCCTGCTGCTGCTGGGTGTCCATGCTAGCTATGCACACCGCGCAGCGGGCTCTAGAAACTTTACCGTCGACTGGGATAATGATCGTTTCCTGAAGGATGGCGAACCATTCCGTTTCATAGCCGGCTCGTTTCATTACTTTCGCGCCCATCCCGATAGTTGGCAACGCAAGTTGCAGACATTACGAGCTTCTGGCTTGAATGCAGTAACCACGTAAGCACTACAAATTTCTACATACGTTTAACAAATGTCTAGTATTTTTATATAATTTTACAGTTACGTTGAATGGTCGCTGCATAATCCGAAAGAAGACACATATGTCTGGAATGGTATTGCCGACTTGGAGAATTTCATCAAACTAGCCGATGAGTTGGGGTTGCTTGTGATACTACGTCCGGGACCTTATATTTGCGCTGAACGTGATTTTGTAAGTACACAAAAAATAGTTGTTGCAGTTTTTCATTTACGTCTGTGGGGAAAACTCACCCATTGCTTGGAGTTGTCAAGCATAGGGAGTTTAATTACTACCACACTGAGGATTATGATTTCAAATCCAGACATATGCCACTATTTTTTTAATCACGATGAGTAAAGAGGTAACATTGAGATTATTGAAATAACGTTTTTTCCTCTAAGTTGGTCTAAAACTTTTAGAAACTCTATATTTAGGAGAATACAGGGCACCTAAACCTTCACCCCATCCATATTGGAGAGGGAATGGAATTTTTCAGTACGTCTGAGGAATAGCTCAGAACATGTATTGAATAGACAAGAGTTCAATAAAAGCAAAATATACAATTATTTATGTTTTTCAAATATTATTATGCTGGACTCAGCTTTCGGTGGCTTGAAGAAAGAGTGCTACAAATGACGATACCCCAAAAAAAGTCTCGTCACATTTTCATAGATGTGATAGTTTACTTATAGTTACTGAGTGATCCGACAGACTCCAGTTCAGCTAAGGAGAAACATTTTTTTATGGGCAACTCGTTCTGCTGAAGCATTAAAGACACACAGATGTCACTGTCTCTGCTGATAGTAATTTCCCTTCTATTTATACTTATAAGCTGCATTTTAGTCTATAACTGACCTTTAGAGACTTTGATAAAGGACCCGTAATTTGGGACATTTTATAGGATATTTCGGAGTCAGTTTCATTCATCTCTTAGATATACAAGGATAGTTAAAAAAGTATGCACTGCGACCTTTGGTTTATTGTCCCTGTCTTCACTTACATCACCTAATTTAGTCCCAGCCCACTAAGAAAGCTCAACAAAATACTATAAGGAAGTGTCTCCGCCGAAAGTTTGCGAATCGTCAAATATACTACACTATAAGTCGTCTTAATTTTCGTCTGGTTAAGCCGATAACCTGTTCTAATCTCTTCCGGCTGTGTGCTCCCTGGAATAACTACATTTGACGAACACGAGCAACTTATAGTAAATATCGATTGACTTCAGATCAATCGGCTTCCTGGCCTGGCGCGTTTCTAACCCCTAGTTTCTCGTATTCTCTTGTATTCATGGATCCATACGAGATGTTTGATATTTTCTTTGCTATACTGTCATGTGCATGTTTCAAACCACTCACGGCAAGTGTTATTTCTCAAGTCAAGTCAAAAATTTGGCATTTGTAGTTCCTTCTATTCAAGGGATAACAATATTCTTCCTCTCAGAAACATGAAACCTCGCTTTCAAAAATGATTTACATATATATTTCTGTAATGTTTTCAAATTTCTCTCATTCCAGGGCGGCTTCCCTTACTGGCTACTCACAAAGTACACGAATATAAAACTGCGTACATCTGATGTCAGTAAGTGACCCGAAGTCTTTCTACAGAATTAAGAACTAACAGTTGCTTTACTTTACTTCGTTTTACAGACTATTTGTTTGAGGTGCGCCTTTGGTATAATGTGCTCTTCAATAAACTCAAGCCATACCTCTATGGAAACGGCGGTCCAATTATTATGGTACAGGTGGAAAATGAGTATGGTTCCTATTATGCTTGTGATAAGAAATACCGCACTTGGCTGCGTGATGAAACACTCGAACATGTGCAAGACAATGCCGTGCTCTTCACTAATGACGGTCCGAGCGTATTGGGCTGTGGTCACATAGAAGGTGTGTTGGCAACCATGGACTTTGGTGCGACCAATCAGATAAGTAATTATTGGGCACGATTGCGGCAGATACAACCGAAAGGACCGTTAGTCAATGCAGAATTTTATCCAGGCTGGCTCACACATTGGTCAGAGCCAATGGCGCGTGTGCGTACCGAGGCGATTTCAAAATCATTCATGTGTGTATAAATATATTTCTATGTTATTATTTAGATACAATTGTCATTTTTTCTCTGTTCTCTTCACTGTAGTGATATGTTGGATGTTGGTGCCAGTGTCAATTTTTACATGATGTTCGGCGGCACAAACTTTGGCTTCACCGCAGGTGCTAATGATGGTGGTCCCGGTCGTTATCAACCCGATATAACTTCATATGATTATGATGCGCCAATGAGTGAGGCTGGCGATGCCACGGAAAAATATCATAAATTACGTGAAATTATCGGACGTTATTTACCGTTACCGAATATACCAATACCAGCGCCGACCACGAAGAAAAACTACGGTACTATTCGTTTGAATGCTTGCTGTTCGATGCTTTCCGCAAAAGGTCGTGAAATACTTTCGACTGGTGTTGTCTTCGATACAAAACCGAAAACCTTTGAAGCGCTCAATCAGTATTCGGGCTTTGTGCTTTATGAAACTATGCTACCCACGTTCAAACGTGATCCTACCATCTTACGCGCTAGTGGCATACATGATCGGGCCTATGTGCTTATCGACGATCAATTGGTGGGCATACTTTCACGTGAGACACCCATCTATGACCTTCCCATCAGTCCAACCTACGGCAAGCGTTTGCAATTGTTGGTGGAGAATCAAGGCCGCATTAATTTTGGACCGGTAACGGATTTTAAGGGAATCACCAGTAATGTTATGCTCGACAAAGACATATTGACCAATTGGACAATGACAAAGTATCCACTGGAATCTATTGCGGATATCGAAACACTGATAGCCTTAGTAAATGCTGATGACGTCAATATTATACGTCGCTTTCACGAGGAGAAACGTGGCAGCATCTTAAGTAACGGTCCAACTATTTACTATGGTCAATTAACAATTCCAGACGGACAAGTAGCAGATACGTACTTAGATACGAACGGTTGGGGTAAAGGCTTGGTGTTTATCAATGGCGAAAACTTGGGTCGTTATTGGCCGGTGGCAGGTCCACAGGTGACTCTCTATGTGCCCCAGGAAGTACTTAAGAGTGGCGATAATCGTATTGTGCTAATCGAATATCAACGTGCAGCTCCAGCCAATGAGATTGCCTTTACTGATACACCAAATTTGGATGGTCATTAAATAGTTGCTCAGAACATAAAGTGGTAATTTTGTTTCCTTTAACTATATTCGTAGTTTATATAACTTTGTTTTTAACTGATGACAATAAAGGGATTTTATAAAAAATAAATATTTTCGGATAAGTTTTTATTTTGGTACCAAACATGATGAGCCTAAAGGAAGATGCTTTAGACGCAGTCCGTTTGTCAGTTAGAGATATTCGATTATAGGCCCTTGTGAAAGGTAATATAAATCATTGGTGCGGTTGCGTTTAAACTTAAGTTTTACAGAAAACCCCTCGTACAATAAAGATGTATGTACATTCGATTATATATACTTTATAGGGTGGATGCAAAAATGCCAATTACCAGCAAATTTATCTTAACAAAGAATAGCTGGATCTGTGGAGATTGAAATAAATATACGAAAAAGTAGAGTTCCTATTTATTAATGTTCATCAAATTATAGTCTCCACCTTGGTGCAACAACTCCGCAGGACTAAAGTTCAATCTCTGTTACAAACAACATTTTTTTCCTACATCACTTGGCCCTCCGATAGTAATGGTAAAACTCCCAGCGTTTCATGAAAAAACGTTCGTGTCAGCTTTCATTTGTCGAACAATATTAGAGCGCTAAGGCCGACTGAGGGGGAAAACTTAGCTCTCAGCTAAGCAATGCTAATGCTTGCCTTATTAGTGACGTTATTATATTATATATGAATGCTTAAAAGGTGATTTTTAGAGCTTCCTTAAACTCTAAAAAGACTCCGAATAGATTTCGGTAAAGGTTTTTAGGTCCTTTTCGTTTATCCGTGAATGTTAGGGGTTATTTAATCCCAAAAAAGTTCCGAAAAGTGTTAAGTAAATAATCATACTAGTCATTCAATCATCTGTTGACTAACATCAAAAAAGACTCTGAACATAATCACTGAAATTCTTAGAAGCGAATCTCTCTATATTTCAGTTACTTATGTCATCAAAATTAAAGCAGAACAAAGTAGCCAGTACTGAGTCTTAAAAATGTTTTTTTATTAAGTTTAAATATTTGTCAAATGACAGCAAACCGTTATTTAAAGACATAAACAGCTAAATGACTTTACAGGAAATTTTACATCCTCATTGCCACACAGACTGGAGGCAATTTTATAACAATTTTTGTTGGACGAAGCGCACAAGAAAAGAAACGGCACAATTACTTTGTTAAAAGTTGATTTGGACCTTTTAAGTAGTACGCGGAAAAAGCAGCCGTGGGCAGCGAAATAAAATTATAATGGTAAGCATGTATGCATGTTTGCAGGTATATATGTATAAATGTGTCTATGTTATCTGTAACGGTTTTTAAAAAATAAGTGAGAAGGACACGTCAAGTTTTCCTTAGGCTCTGTTGTTGTACGCAGTCGCATTCAGTTACTGGCCACATAATACCATACATTGTCCAAGGAATGTTCGTGTGCATATAAATATTCCATGTAGTCACATGTGCTTAAACTTATCCCCATATATGTATGTATGTATGTGTGAAGCCGCTTAAGCATTAGTCTAAGATCATGCAGACGCCTCACTTTTATACTAATTAGGCGTTCAGAGTCACAGCTTGCGGCTTAGTTTAGACATCTTGAGCCAACACAGCAGTGTCTTCTGCTGGATTTCTCAAGTCTTTATTGAAAATCAAAAATGTTTTACTTTTATGCCACAGTTTTGTTGTTGTTTTAATTACATGAGTTTTATTTAGTATTTTTACTAATGTGATTTGAACATATACATATGTATAAACTTCAGTATTAGAGAGGACAATCCGAAAATATCCGATGGTAATACTATCGCAGAGGAAATTTTATAGAATCGGCCCAATTTAGCGAATGCTCTTTCAGCTACCCACCGGCTCACTCTACCGACGCCATGGTACTCCGACTACAGATTTCACCACGTACGACTGCAAACTTGAGAAAGTCACTCGCCGAATAGAAGCTTTAGTTGAATTATTAGCGGATTGCCTCCACGGAGACTCTATGTAGGCCTACAGAATATGTAAATTTCAGAACGGTCAAAGTACGAGTAGTTAGACCACGTCAGTGAAAAAAATCAGGAAGTTTGCAAAATTTTCGTTTTTCTTTTGTAGGCTAATTACTAATCAGACCGCCCTCGCCTACGTATATGTAAAATATGTAAAAATGATATTGTAGATGAATTAATACTTAGAAGTTTAAATAGACGTACATACATACAACCATATCCACACATTTAAAACGTGCTACATGACTTTCAACCAGATAATCCTCCTTTTGGCTCATTTATGATTTCAAAATGCACACCTACAGACGCTCAATAAACGTGCTTTGTTGACTTGAACCCCCTTAGCAGGGTAAACGCACTCACACCTGACTTTACAGAGCGGCTTTTATTCAGTATCAGGAGATTCATTTCGGTTACATCGTCTTCGCCTTCGCCTTTGGAGCAAATGAAATTGTAATAATTTACTCATAGTTGATATAATCGCATAAGTAATGATGCTGCAGCACACACAAGCGCTCACAAACACACACTTACGCAACTCTCACAGTGCTTGCTATAAGTATGTCTATACGTGTAAATTTGTTTAATAACTGTACATTTGCTTACGTCAGCAATTTCCGCGCCACACAAGAATTATTATTATTATCTAAAATTTTTATTATATTTTTTCTACTCAACAAATTTTAAAAAATTATGAAGGAAAGTATGCCATGAATTTGCATATTAATTTTTCAATAATTACCATTGTAAGGTATGTGTGCGCACCTTGTAATAGTTAGATAATAACAAATAAATGTTATAACAGTGACCAAACTCGTACCATATCTTGATTTTACTTTAAAACCTCAGGTTATGAACTTTTCGGCCTTTTTGTACTTGTATTTGAGCATTTTTTTATTATCACATAAGCACTTATGTTGAGTATAATTTAGCGTATCAACCATTTTCCAGTTCTGCGAGTTGTAGTCTATTTTAAACACCATCTAATGGTTGTTCATTGAGCATCAGCACTGCGTTTAAGGATCTTAAAGCTCGCTCAAATTTGCGCTTGGTGAGTGACTATAAAGTCAATACTGTGTCTATTTGGTATTTTCTTCGTCTGAAATCAGTAGATATCTTTCTCAGCCCAAAACCTCAAAAAAATAATCGTATGTATAGATATTAAAAAATATCTGAGAAAAGTAACGTTTTCAAAACTCTTGCAAATGAAAAAAAAAATAAATATAAATGTGATGATCATTATAAACATCAATGGTCGGTATGCCGTCAAATATGGCATTTACTCATTTTTTACCAAGCACTAATTGTCGTTTAAACTCTTTCTGAGTATTTGTGTTTATAGGTCCATACATTTTTTAGATGGTGAGGGTTATAGTCCCGTATTTATTCTAGTTAATTTAGGTTTTTGAATTTGTTTGAAATTAATTTTTGTTGGAACTATGTGAGTGATATTTTTTGTTTAACAATTTTTTTAGATGTCGTAACACTGAGCTTCATGAGAGCACTGTACAAATAACACATTTTTTATAAATAAAAAACTCACGTTTGCGAGAAAATAATTTATACAAAATGTAAGAGAAATGTTAGACATTTCCATTCAAAGGAAAGCAAAAAAAAATTTTAACTATCAGTGAACTTCAGTAATTTAAATCTTATATTTTTATACTCTGAATAGGGTATATTAAGTTTGCAACGTTGTTTGTAACACTCAAAACGAAACTTCAGTGACCCTTTAAAGTATATATGTACATATATAAATGATCACCGTGACGAGCTGAGTCAGGAATTACAAACTTTAAAGGTTAACGGATGTCCCAGTGGCCTCTACGGAGTAAAACACTAAAATCTTTCTGAGTAGAAGAGGCAATCAATGATATGTAAAAGACAAGCATATGAATAGAATATGAGGTAAAATTGATAATTGGCTCATTTGACAGCTTTTTTTGTAACTTGTATTTGTATAAGCACTCGGTGAAAATTTTTTTTGGGACCCATTACTGCTGATAATGTAATTTTGATTTACAACATTTTTTTATTCCGACTTAAGTGTTCTATGAGCAATTAAATGTTTGTAATTTTAAGATAATTATCTCAATTAATTATCGTAACAAGTGGGGTTTTTAGGTTATGTACCATAAATATACTTGCATCCAGTGTGTATAACAAATATTTACAGTTCTTGCTATTTGCAAGCTATTTATTAATTTTTGCATGACTATGTGCTTGTTGTATTGTAAATATGTAAGTACATAAGCGAATTTTCAGTATTTCTTTGTTCTTTTTAAAGCAAATAAATTGTGCTTCAATTAAAAGTAATATAAATATAGATATGAACATACGAATACATGCAGATAGTTGTTGCATATCAAAGCGAAAAAATAGGAGATATATTTCATAATTTATTTTCAGAAGAAAGTATATTTGCTCGCAGTTTGATATGAGCATAACTATGTGTTTGTGTACTTGGCAGTCGGTGGGCATTTGAATACAACTGTTTTACCGCTAATGTGCTGCTGTAATTATTTAATAGTGGCTGATTAAACATGCGGTTAGAAAGCGTTATTGAGCCAACCCACAATGAGCTTATATTTATTTGTAAACTTGCGTTTCTCTAATCAAGTCACGTGTGGACTCTTTAGCTAAAAAATAATCGTGGGCGTTCTGGTGTTATTCCAAAAATATAATTGTTATTTAATTAATTCTAGTTTACCTGCAGCGATTTATTTTAATATTAACTGTTGGTTGTTTAAATAATGCGATTATTTCATTAACCATAATTATTTGTACTCACACATTGGCACATTATCTTATTAAAAATTATAAATTAAAATGTTATAAATTAAATGTAAATAAATATGCATAAATGAATTCGCAAACAGTTGTAAAGCCATTTTGAAAATCTAATAATTGCGTGATCACTTTTTATTTACACATTACTATTGAATAAATTCAGCGTCGGCTAATATGACCAAGTGTTCGGTTGTAAAGTATTGTTGACCATTTCTTCGAGTGGTTTTTTATAGAGTTCAGCTGCCTCGAAGTTATAATACCCTTCACATAATTAGCAGAAGCAGTTTCTTTAGTAGAAAAGGACATATGCAACTTTTGAGATCTATATCTCAAAATCTGTGGGAATAGTTCGGCGAGAAATTGGACAGACAGACATGGTTAGATCGACTTAATAGTCAATGGGAACGCTATAGAGCCATGATTACAGACTTTTTCGTACCTTAATTGGAGAATGTTTATGTGGCCGACCTTTGGTTCCAACAAGACGGCGCTACATGTGCCACACAGCCAACGAAATAATCAATTTAATGATGGAAGCTTGTGGGGAACGTATTATCTCGCGTCGTGCGCCTATGACGTGGCTTTCAAGGCGGTACGATTTAACAACGCTGAACTATTTTTTGTGGGGTTATATGAAGCCGCTTGTCTACTCCGATAAGCCCGAGACGACTGACGCCTTAGAGAATATTTGGGATATTGCGCGAAATCATTCTTAAATAATTGCAAATTTTTAAATATATGCCTTCTATTTCTTCTTGAAAACCAAATGTCTAAAAAACACCCTTTATATACATTTTATAGGGTCTGCGACTTTTCATGCTGGGTGTTACAAACTTCGTGTCAAACTCAATATACCTTGTGAAGGGTATAAAAAATATATTAGTCACTTAATACCTCAACTACGTTTTTAAATTTAATATAAAGTGAGTCGGTTATAATTAATGAACATGATAAACAATTTGCTGATTGAGATTGGCTGGTTGGCGACTTTCCCATTTTCTTAGACATAAAAAAGCTGTTGGAAAAAATTCACGACCGAGGGCTATTTTATAGCATTGGACCAATCACACTATAAAAAGGGTTTAGAAAAATTGTTATTAATCATTAACTAAAATTGTTTCAATTATTTTTCAAGTTCGTTAATTTCAAAAGACAATGTGAAACCTTCTTATGATTTTTAACAAGAAAACATTTCTCTTTATAGTACATCAGCCTTTAAGGGAGTATGCTAGTGTAAGACTTGTTTCCATATTTCAATAGTATAATCAACAATATCTTTTGTAATTCGAATGATTTTACATATATATATATATTTAGTGCTGTATCAACTCTGCTGGTGTGATCAGAGCAAATCTTACCACAATTAGATGTAGACACTTTAAACGCAATTTCCTCAAAACACCTGACTTCACTTGAATTTTCTTTAAATATTATTTTATGTCGGGAAGAAAGAAAAGACTAGAAATATACTACTTTATTTGTACTATTTAAAAAAATCCGAAGCAATTAAAAAATTACTGAAAATCGAGTTTTTTAAATAGCTGCTATTTGCGGGAACCTTTTTCCAGTTTCTGAGCTTCCTCATTTTCACTGATTAAGATTTTTTTAGTTTTATTTCTCATATGACTGACTACGGCTCATTATGCAAGCCCTTTTTCGCCATCTGCAACAACATGCAACTTTGTGAAATTGGACTTTTTTCTTTCTTTTCTTTGAAATATTTTGTGTGTATTTTGAATTCATAAATAATTGATAAAAAATGTTTAGTTTTTTTTACTAATATCGAGCTTCAAAAAATTCTTCAAATTTAAGACTCTGGACTAGAATACACCCTTAAAATTCGGAAGTTTAACAAGGCAGTTCAGAAATACCTAGAGAAGCTGCTCAAAATAATCTATATAAATATATGTTTTTAACGATTGGATTGCTATTTATTTAGCTCATAATATACTTTTTTTGTAATCATACAGTTGGAAATTTTTTCATAAGTTTTTTAGAGAAAATTTTTTTTATATAGCAAACCATTTATTTTTTGGTCGAATAATATATTTTCGAATAAATGCAGCACACGCAAAAAGTTTCACTGAATATACGTATTTCATGTGAAATAAAATCAAAATTTGTCATATATTATTAAACATTCTTTTGAAATCGTAGCACAACAATTTTTAATTAAACTGCTGTTGAACTAGAAAATCACAAAAAAATTACAAAACAAAAACGTTGTAAGTATTCAAATCAAAATTAGGTATTACAATGCCAAATATTAACTTGAAAATATTGAGCACATACCTGACAATAAACCGCGACAGTTTTCAAGAGTTTTTCAAAAGTTTTCTTGAGCGCACATAAAGTATTTTAAAAGCACAGTTTTGAATTCTCCACAGTTTTAGCTTTACTCAAATGATTAACCGTTTTTATTTGCACACACACAAAATAAGAGTTATTTGTTTATATTTGACCTTGTAACACACTTTAAAGCAAAGCAAAGTCCACGTTTTCAAAAATATCGAAACTCAAAACTGATTGGCTGACTTTTTAACGGTGCTACTTCTTCTTTTGCCACATAAGATTTTATTTGAAATTTTGTGACGGTCCGCTTTATTTGACAGCGCTAATGTGACCACGCTGAAAAGTATGCAACAACTGAATGCCAGATCAAACGGAACAGGATGTTAAATATCTGCGGCGAATAAGGCAAATCAGTGAGCCACACAGAGCCCCAACAATAGCGACGGCGGCAGCGGTGGCAGCGAAGGCACGTTGAATGCACCGAATGGGTTGATTGTGTTGCGAGTGGTGAGTGATGGCTAAGTGGTGGTGTGGTGCTGTTGTTGTGTTCTTGTATGCGCGCGTTCGCCGCTAAACGGTCGCGTTGGCGCGCACAAACGCGAATGGACACCGATGAATCGGCGTTGAAAGAGACAACGACGGATGTACGAATGGTGACACGATAGACATAGCAAGCGGCAGATAGTGAAAGCGCACACACATCCACATACAAATGTGTATAGATACATATATATATGTATGGAAGTATGTAGCGAAGCTATAACAAGACCGTATTTAATACACCGTGGCGTTGTAATGACTTCTTCAACTATGGTGCGGGAGTTTTATATTGTCACTTGTTGCTTTTGTTGTTGTAGCATCAACAATTGGCTTTATGTGGCATAAAATCTTGCATTAAGCAAGGCACTAACGCCTAAAAACATGCAACATTGTTAGTATCTGTCGCATGTTTGGTGTCTAGCGTTTATGTGCGTGTATGTGTGTATGCGCGTGTATGTCTGCCGGCACTTGTAGCAAAGGAGAATTGCATAGTCTATGTTTGCATATAAAAAAGTAAAAGTTACAACGGATTGTTGGTTGGCGATGGAGTATGCGTTGCCGCACTTTTCAAATTGTTAAATGGTTATGTTTTGTTGTTGCTTTACGTTTTTGAAACAATGAATGAATTTCCAGGAGCATGCGCGATAGCGATTAATGCCTACATATCGTCAGATATTAGATATGTTAAATATTAATAAAAACGTTGTAAGACAACTTGAATAAGATAGTATGTTTCGCAAAAACTAGAGGTCTCTAAAGGAATACTTGTAAGCAAAATACAGAAAAGATTAAAAACTTGGCCAAATTGTTTGTTCGTTTTGTCTCTCCGTGCTTTTTTCCTATTTACAGTATAGAAATATTAGATAGTTGTATGTACCTTGGAATTTTTATATTGACTTATAAATATTCTTTGTAAATACAAAGCTTTGACTTGTGGAAAAAGTTATGAATCATTTTGACATAAGTTCTAAAATTAATATACCAGCTAAGGTTTAGTTATGTTTTTATGTCAGAACCATAAAAAAATATATCACTCGGATTCGTATCCTTTCGAGAAAGAGTTGCTGCATTTCTATATCTAACCGAACTTACTTCGAAATCAGTGCTTCAAATAGAAATCTTACTGGTTATTTTTTTCTACTATAATTTTAACTTTTTAAACGTCATAAAAAATTTATTTTAATTTTTTTTTTCAAAGTGTTTTATGTCTTAGACACCTTATTCAGGAGAACATATATGAGGCCGGGACTTTTTACTATATATATAATTTAGTCTACTCGAAACAAAAAGTAATAGTTAATGCCCACTAACACTGTCAAAAGTGCTTATACCAACTCGATAAGTGCCCACAACATCAGCTGAAATAATATGAAAATCCAACAACAACAAAATGACGCTAACAACTTTTTAAAGCGGACCGACCAGCTAACTCTTCACACAATTACAAAGCACATTAACATTTGTGTCACTACATATGTTATATATCTGTATATATGTAACGGTGTTTTAATATAGAATTTACATACGCAGACTGTAGGCTTGCAGACTTGTCCGATTGTTGGCTGCAAGGCGTTGAGTTAAGCCAAACTGGCTAATGCAACAACACAAAGTCATTTTCTAACAGCATCTAAAGCTTGGACTCAAGCACAGTGGCTGCCAGCAAGGCCAACACTTCACTCTTTTATACAGAATAATGAATATTTCATGCGACTTCTACGAGTACGAAACTGTTTGATTGCCTTGTGCTGGCCTGTTTTGCATATACACATGTATACATATGTATATACGCACACATATGTTGCATAAAATGAAAAACAAAAAAAAATATTTTTTAAACATCCCTTTTAATTTGTGTTTTGGTGTTTGGCTTTTGTACTTTTCTTTTCTGATCAAAGTTAGAAAAGTTCACATTTCATTGGTTGCCCGACGCGCTTCAACTCGCAAGGAAGTAGCGGCATTTCTATGAGTACAATACATAGAATATATATATTTGTATGGGTGTGCACCTGGGCGGAAATTTTCGATTTTGCCTACAAACTTTACTATCTTTTAGTAGAAATGTTAAATGCGTACAGTTTTAAATAACTGTGTTTGAAGCTTTTTATGGACTAGGAAATGTGGGAGGATAAAAATTAAGAATAGAACCACTTTACTAACACAGATGCATATATTTCACAGACATACAGAAGGTTCACATAAATATGGTATATAATAGTTCCATCGTTCCATAGTTGGAAATATTAAGTCTAAAAATTTTCTACAAAAAATATCGATAAAATTTTATCGATAAGGAAATGGGTAGTTTTAAAGTATTAGTTACGCACTAAAAAAATAATTAGAAAGTGTAATATATAGTTTTGTTGAAAAATTAACGTTCTCTTGCTTTCTTTATCAGCTTACAGTAAAAAGATTTATAGTATTATATGGGTTAAGATGCCAAAAATTAAACTCTGAAGATATCGCTAAAATATATCGATTATTAATAAAATTTAAAAAATAAAAATGTAAGAGAGAAAAATTTAAATAGCAAGACTGTAAATATCGATAAAGTTTTATCCGAGGTAAAACTGACACAGTGTTAGCTGTCAAGAGATCTGATTGGAACTAGCGCAGAAGAAAGAGCAAAGGCACTACTGCTTACGCATTTCCTGGAGACAGTTCGGGATTATCAAATTCGCGTAAGTCATTTAGCTCGAAGCGGGTAGTCGCGAGACATTTATTTACTGCAGACTCAATCAAGAACGGTTTGGGTTCTTTCTCGAAATATAAGTCACCGGGAGCGGATGGCGTCTTTCCAGTACTTCTGCAACAGGGAGGGCACGTCTCACTGCCCCACTTTGTTCGGCTGATGAGAGCTAGCCTAGCTCTAGCCTGGCGTATATTCTTAAACCATGGCGAATGCAAAGTTAATCTTCAACTTCATACCTAAGGTAGGCAGGAAAGACTATTCACTGGCAAAATCTACCACCAAAATACCACTGTAAGCCATACTTAGATTCGTCTCGGAATGAAAAGATGTTGCCTGCAGGGTGGAGTATTGTCGTGTATGAGCTTCTTGAACTACTAACCAACTATGGGATCCGTTGTCAATGGTCCGCGGACGACAGTGTTATATTAACAAGAGAGAAATTCGAGAACATTCTCTGCGTTATTGTGCAAACGGAATTTGGCTTGGTTAAGGGATGATGCAGTACGATTGGAGTGAACATAAGCCCGTCGAGAACGACCATCGTACCGTTTACCAAGCGAAAGTCTCTGCCGGGACAGACGATTAATAAGGTCAAATATCTGGGTTTCACTTTAGATTTTTCACTCTTCGGTGAAAACAGCATGTGTATCTGACCATGGCCAAAGCCACAAAAGCACTCATGACCTTACTAGGTTTAAAGCTTAAGAAACCTCCCGAGAGACAAATTTCGGCTTTTACACTGGGCACCTGACCTATGTGATTCGGTGTGACAGAGGGGAGTGCACAATAGTCCTTAGGTCGCGTTGTAAACTGTAATTTATTTATTTCTATGTGTCTATCGATATAGTTAAAATATGTGTATATCGAGTGTAATATTTGAAAATGTGATTTGTTACAAAAAAAGAAAGAATGATATATAAAAACTGCTGGAGAAAAACAAAATCAAACAGATCAATATTACGTGGTCAGTAAATTAAAAATAGATATATATATTTTTACATAATCATGACGGATTGCCTTGAAACTGTTAATACACTACAGTTGATTAACGAGCAAATAAATAAGCAAAATAGAAGGTAATAAAAATAATAATAAAATATTTATTAAATTTGTTGGCTTGCTGACAAAGCATTAGAACGCAAAAACAAATATGAAATCAGTACAATGCGAAAAATTCACAAAGAAATCTGGCGAGGCAAGCACCGCAGCTAACAGAAAGGGTGGTAGCAGAGGCATGTGTTTGCACGCACACACACACTTGCACAATCATAAATGCTAATAATTCGCCGTTTTATAAGAGCAGGAAGGAAGTGGAAGTACAGATAAGGCGACTCTATGTTATCGATGACAAGCACATAGCTTTATGGTATCTGCACAAAACTACACACTTACATGCGTATTGAGCATCAAAGATACACCAGCAGATAGCGCTGAAGCAAACAGTTGTTTACCACCGCAATCAGATTTCGTATACAGTATGTACGTATGTTTGTGCAGTTTTGCTTTATTTATTTATATATAATATTACAGCGGATTTCGCGATAGTCACGCTGACGGCCCATGAAAGCAATAGTCGGGCATAAAACAAAGAAATTGTCGCTAGTAAATGATAATTGAGGGCTGAACTGTTTGCCGAACCATTCAGGCAATTAAATAAATTTTATTACTGAATTATTTGGCGATTGACCGAATGATTGCAGAAAATTAGCTGATAATCAAATATGCTTGATATTTACATACATATATACTATATACTTGGTAATAACTGGTTGTTGACAAAAAGTTTTGTTTATAATTTCTGTCAAAAGTTATATTTTATTAATTGATAGATACTGATTTGTACAATTGAAATTTATCGATAATATTGTCGAACTCAACAAAATAATGTACTTGTTAAAAAAAATAATTTCGATTGTAATCGATAACAATTATGATTCTTCATTTTGACAGTAATTTATCTGACGACAATTTCACCCTATTATAAATTGATAATAAATATAAACAAGTAAGGAAGTGCTATGTTCGGGTGTAACCGAACATTTTAAACCCTTGCAGCTTGTAGGAGCCCGGGAAACTCTTTCATATACTGGCAACCTTTATATTAAAAATGTTGTTAATGTAAGTTTAGTTCGATGAATTCGGGAATAAATTACAATCAAATTTAGTATACTCTTAACTTATATTGAAGATCATAAACTTAGACTCAGCTTTATTGTTATATTTTCGTTCGCATCAGGAAAAATTATATTAAAAACATCTACAAATGAGATATACATATGTTGTAATATCAACTCAACCGAAGAGGCTAAATTTAATATATTGAGTTAATGTGGAAAATGCAACCCTAGGATCGAACTTGATTATATTAGGGATATGAGGTTTAGACCAAAGGATAGACCAATTCCAAACTAAGCGCTAAACCAC